GATAGCCGACAAAGTCTATTTCTGTCTTACCAAACGTACACTTATCTAAGTTTATAGTTATATTATACTTGTTAAACTGTTTAAATAATGACTCTAAATGCTCCCGATGCGTTTCTTCACTTGAAGATGCTATAATAACGTCATCGATATACGAGAAGATATTATCTTTACAAGCTGCGTCTAGTTCCTGAAAAACAGTGTGGTGCATGAATCGCTGAAAGGTTTGGGCTGCGTTGCGTAACCCAAACGTCATACGCGGGAATTCATATAATCCAAATGGCGTAATAATTGCAGTCTTTTCTATATCTTCTGATGCTATAGGAATACAGTGATATGCTCTGTTTATATCAATTTTTGAAAATATCTTTTTTCCCGATAGTATATATGTGAAGTCGGATAAACGAGGTATGGGATATCTGTCCGGCTTGGTGATAGAGTTAAGCTTCCTATAATCCCCACAAGGACGTAATTCCCCATTTTTCTTGGGTACCACATGAAGTGGACTGGCCCAAGGACTCTTTGAAGGTCTACAAATGCCTACTTCCTGCATAAAACGAAACTCCTCCTGCACTTTCTTATATCTAGCCGGTGGTAACGGCCTAGCTCTAGCAAATACTGGAGGTCCGATTGTTTCAATGTGGTGGAAAACACCGTGGGAAGGTACTTCCCTATACGACGCAGGTTTAGTAATATTAACGTACTTACATAATAGATCGTGAAATGGATGAGTGTCCTCGACAGTTTTCACGGTCGGTTGATCCACCTCCACAATGCTGGCAACAAAATTTAATTTTGTTATATTATCGATTAATCTAGATGAACTTAGATCTACTATTAAACCGTGATGAGCCAGAAAATCAGCTCCTAAAATAGGTTGGGTTACCTCTGCGATTATGAATGTCCATTTGTATGGTCGACGTAAACTAAAGTCCAATATCATAGTTTTAGTACCGAATGTCTTAATCACACTTCCGTTTGCGGCGTATAGTTTATAATCACTGCACTCACTCGCGAAACGGTTATGTTTAGTCATTGGTAACACTGAAACATTGGCGCCAGTATCCACCAAAAATTTTAGTCCACTTTTCTTATCTCTAACACAAAGGCGTTTGCTAATTCCACTGGTACAGCCATCCGCCTTAGGCTGTACGGCATCTAGTTTTTTTCTGTTTCAGTTTCCTGCTGCCTCTGCCATGCGCAAGGTTGGATGCATTTGTTGGCCTTTTCCTTGTATCGAAAATGGTAAAAGCACAACCAATTCGGGTTTCTCCTTTTCGCGCGCTCGCGACTTTGAGACGCAAAACGATACGGTCTCCTGTAACTACTACGACCAGATGACCTGCCTCTTGATCTTGACGTTTCCAAACGGTTTAAACGCTGTGTCAGGTGGGCGACTTGATTCGCAAGGTTTGGCTGCATGGCTGCCTCACTGCTTCTATTAGTAGAAAGTTCCTGGACTTCCGCAAAACGCGTTGTTTCGACGACTTTATCTGCCATAGTAGCTAACTTCTCCAGATCTTTCACTTCACTTACTGTGAGTACTGCTTGCACCGCTGTTGGTAAGTGTCCCATCCAAAGCATGCTCAATGTTTCATCTCGAAATCTGTTTCTTGCGAGATCTCTCATTCTCCTGAGGAGCTGGGAAGGTTTCTGATCTCCCAATTCCAGTTCTTTCAGAAGCTTTTGAACTTGACGTACCTCCGATTCCTCATAAACTACGAGTAATCGATTTTTCAAGGCTTCGTATTTTTTAGTGTCGGGCGGTGATAGCACAATATCACTGACTTGCTCCACATGCTCTCGGTTGAGCTTCGCGATCACCAAATTATATCTTGACTCATCTGTTAGCTTTTGGTTTGCCACCACGGCTTCGTACTGGGCAAACCACAGACGAGGTGATTCCTTCCAAAAATCCGGTATCCTGCTTGACACCGTTATTTGAGCTAAGGCGTTTTCACCCGCCTCGCCCTTGACTGGAATTGCCGCCGGAGGATTCATAGTTACTGTATTTTATTGTTATCACTGGTCGCACAAATTTAGAGGTATAGTAAATCACTTCAGTCGTCGGGGTCACCAATGTTGAGACACGGGTTCGGGTTGTAAATAAGAGATAACGACAAAGTTCCACTCCATATAATTACCAAAAAATACTTAGGCTAATTACAATGTGCGCGACCCACTCGCAACCCGACAAGCCCGTGACTGCCCTACGTTGCATAAATGCAACGTTGCAAAACCTATGCGGTGCATTGTCGTCGCTACAGTTCGATAGTAGACCAATTTATAGCCTAACTCTCAAATCAATTAGTTTGAATAGTTAACTAACTGGACCTATGTTTGTTGAATTTAAAGTAATTAATTAGACTATCCTGACTATTCCGTTGATCTCATCCCACGTACAAAATTTTAGTATAAAAACTAACGAGCTATTTGTCTTTGACCTTGTTTATATACGTGAAATTAAATGAAAAGCCCACGCTCCGCCTCCATTACAAAATAAAAAACTTCTGAGTACATTTTGAAATAGTTTTCATCAGTGGGTGTAACCTCCTAAAGGTGAATAATCTTTACACTTGGTCGACTGTATCGCAGTTTAAATGGTTATGAATGAAAGAGTGCTACTCCCTAGTCTGCCGTAACTGCTTTTTATTACCGTTGATCTAAGACCACAGCTACCCAGTCTCTGTCAAATACATATAATCATATAGTCCTGAGGTCTAATACTTCTCATGCATGAGGGTGACGTTTACAGAGTTATATGTACTGTATAAGGCTATTTAGGCTAGACACCACTGACAAATGGTGAAGGAAAACATCATGAGGAAGCCTGAACATAATATTTTTGAAATTGCCAACCCTCAGTAAGCAAGCGTGGTGATTAATGCAAACCTCCTTGTCAGAAGAGGCCTTTTTCATCAGTGGCAAATTATAGGGTGTTGATGATAATTATGTGATGATGTAGTCAGTCTTTGCGAAACTGAAGGGAAGAGCAGGTCCAAACAGCCTCACATTATATAAAAAGGTGAGGGTTCATACTAATAGTACATTTTCTCATAAGTTTAATATATTAGTCAAACATTAGGTTTCCGATTATGTAAGTTTAAATTAACAAAGGGTGTCCATGCAGGGACGGAGGGCGGTGTAATGAAATTGGAGCTAGTTTAGGACAAACGCGTCATATGCTAATGACTGACTAAATTAGTGCTGAGATAATTGCTTGACGTTTGTTGACTTTAGGATATATCGTTGGGGATAGTGTAAAATCGCGGAACTAGCATTGGATAATTCCGCGTATGTGATAGATGTAACAAATTCAATTTTTCACGAAAATCCCCGCAAAATCTTAATTGGCTACCACCGCCGTGACACGAGAACATAAGGAAGGGCTTTAGTTACTGAAGTGATAGACAGAGCTGCATATATGCAATGTAACGCCCACTTCAATTATTATGAGTAACATATAATAGAAGTTTAGGTTATACCGATAGCCAAAGCCCCTCGCTCGCCTCACCATTTATTTAAAAAAAATGAATTACTCGATTCCAATATTATTTATGTCTACTTTATTGTTCGTAAATCAGGCAAGTTCTCGAGTGTTTTCGGTCTAATTTTAACACAAAAGCCTCAAACTTTTGAATTTATTCGGTGAAACGAAAACAATTTGAAGATATATACAAAGCCCTAAATTTGCTGGAAGCGACAATATAAATCATACAAGTTGACTGTTTTATGTAGAAAGTCTACAATAAGCGGTTTAGTCTTTGTTTCTGTATATTTATTTTAGGAATTGTTCGATAGAAAAAATCACATAGTTAGTATCTAATGACAAATAAAAATTTGTGGTGATGATGACGATTTCCTGCTTAATTCATTCTCCATTATTAGGATTTACTCTCTATGCAGACGATAAATATGTGAAAATTGTCACACAGTTATTACTGTGTGACAATTTTGACGTGAGAATTATTATTCTCATACTCACGTGGAGAGCCATGATTCGGCACAAATAAGCCAGCTCCACTGAAGTGAAACTACAACCTCACAGAAAACACATGGCGTAAAACAACATTGGCATTGTTTCACCGTGTGAGTAGGTACTGTTTCTCTGATATTGCAATGAGTTGCAATAATCGCTTACCATCAAGTGATCAGTCGACTCGTTAGCCGCTATACCATAAAATAATACTACTACATGTAAAACAAGCAAATATTAGAATTCAAACACACGATAATTTCTGCAGTTCATAACTCAATTAT